AGCCTGGGGGGTGGCATGGAGGGTGGGCGCCACAGCCTGGGGGGTGGCATGGAGGGTGGGCGCCACAGCCTGGGGGGTGGCATGGAGGGTGGGCGCCACAGCCTGGGGGGGGCGCCACAGCCTGGCATGGAGGGTGGGCGCCACAGCCTGGGGGTGGCATGGAGGGTGGGCGCCACAGCCTGGGGGGTGGCATGGAGGGTGGGCGCCACAGCCTGGGGGGTGGCATGGAGGGTGGGCGCCACAGCCTGGGGGGTGGCATGGAGGGTGGGCGCCACAGCCTGGGGGGTGGCATGGAGGGTGGGCGCCACAGCCTGGGGGTGGCATGGAGGGTGGGCGCCACAGCCTGGGGGGTGGCATGGAGGGTGGGCGCCACAGCCTGGGGGGTGGCATGGAGGGTGGGCGCCACAGCCTGGGGGTGGCATGGAGGGTGGGCGCCACAGCCTGGGGGGTGGCATGGAGGGTGGGCGCCACAGCCTGGGGGTGGCATGGAGGGTGGGCGCCACAGCCTGGGGGGTGGCATGGAGGGTGGGCGCCACAGCCTGGGGGGTGGCATGGAGGGTGGGCGCCACAGCCTGGGGGGTGGCATGGAGGGTGGGCGCCACAGCCTGGGGGGTGGCATGGAGGGTGGGCGCCACAGCCTGGGGAGTGGCATGGAGGGTGGGCATGGATGGAGGGTGGGCGCCACAGCCTGGGGGGTGGCATGGAGGGTGGGCGCCACAGCCTGGGGGGTGGCATGGAGGGTGGGCGCCACAGCCTGGGGGGTGGCATGGAGGGTGGGCGCCACAGCCTGGGGGGTGGCATGGAGGGAGGGCGCCACAGCCTGGGGGTGGCATGGAGGGTGGGCGCCACAGCCTGGGGGTGGCATGGAGGGTGGGCGCCACAGCCTGGGGGGTGGCATGGAGGGGGTGGGCGCCACAGCCTGGGGGGTGGCATGGAGGGTGGGCGCCACAGCCTGGGGGTGGCATGGAGGGTGGGCGCCACAGCCTGGGGGTGGCATGGAGGGTGGGCGCCACAGCCTGGGGGTGGCATGGAGGGTGGGCGCCACAGCCTGGGGGGGTGGCATGGAGGGTGGGCGCCACAGCCTGGGGGGTGGCATGGAGGGTGGGCGCCACAGCCTGGGGGGTGGCATGGAGGGTGGGCGCCACAGCCTGGGGGGTGGCATGGAGGGTGGGCGCCACAGCCTGGGGGGTGGCATGGAGGGTGGGCGCCACAGCCTGGGGGGTGGCATGGAGGGTGGGCGCCACAGCCTGGGGGGTGGCAGTGGCATGGAGGGTGGGCGCCACAGCCTGGGGGAGTGGCATGGGGGAGGGGCATGGATGGGGGTGGGCGCCACAGCCTGGGGGGGCATGGCATGGGGGAGGGCATGGGGGCGCCACAGCCTGGGGGGTGGCATGGAGGGTGGGCGCCACAGCCTGGGGGGTGGCATGGAGGGTGGGCGCCACAGCCTGGGGGGTGGCATGGAGGGTGGGCGCCACAGCCTGGGGGTGGCATGGAGGGTGGGCGCCACAGCCTGGGGAGTGGCATGGAGGGTGGGCGCCACAGCCTGGGGGGTGGCATGGAGGGTGGGCGCCACAGCCTGGGGGGTGGCATGGAGGGTGGGCGCCACAGGCTGGGGAGTGGCATGGAGGGTGGGCGCCACAGCCTGGGGGGTGGCATGGAGGGTGGGCGCCACAGCCTGGGGGGTGGCATGGAGGGTGGGCGCCACAGCCTAGGGGGTGGCATGGAGGGAGGGCGCCACAGCCTGGGGGATGGCATGGAGGGTGGGCGCCACAGCCTGGGGGTGGAATGGGGGGTGGGCGCCACAGCCTGGGGGGTGGCATGGAGGGTGGGCGCCACAGCCTGGGGGGTGGCATGGAGGGTGGGCGCCACAGCCTGGGGGTGGCATGGAGGGTGGGCGCCACAGCCTGGGGGGTGGCATGGAGGGTGGGCGCCACAGCCTGGGGGTGGCATGGAGGGTGGGCGCCACAGCCTGGGGGGTGGCATGGAGGGTGGGCACAGCCTGGGGGGTGGCATGGAGGGTGGGCGCCACAGCCTGGGGGGTGGCATGGAGGGTGGGCGCCACAGCCTGGGGGGTGGCATGGAGGGTGGGCGCCACAGCCTGGGGGTGGCATGGAGGGTGGGCGCCACAGCCTGGGGGGTGGCATGGAGGGTGGGCGCCACAGCCTGGGGGGTGGCATGGAGGGTGGGCGCCACAGCCTGGGGGGTGGCATGGAGGGTGGGCGCCACAGCCTGGGGGGTGGCATGGAGGGTGGGCGCCACAGCCTGGGGGGTGGCATGGAGGGTGGGCGCCACAGCCTGGGGGGTGGCATGGAGGGTGGGCGCCACAGCCTGGGGGGTGGCATGGAGGGTGGGCGCCACAGCCTGGGGGGGTGGCATGGAGGGTGGGCGCCACAGCCTGGGGGGTGGCATGGAGGGTGGGCGCCACAGCCTGGGGGGTGGCATGGAGGGTGGGCGCCACAGCCTGGGGGGTGGCATGGAGGGGGGCGCCACAGCCTGGGGGGTGGCATGGAGGGTGGGCGCCACAGCCTGGGGGGTGGCATGGAGGGTGGGCGCCACAGCCTGGGGGAGGGCATGGAGGGTGGGCGCCACAGCCATGGGGGTGGGCGCCACAGGCTGGCATGGAGGGTGGGCGCCACAGCCTGGGGGATAGAGGGTGGGCGCCACAGCCTGGGGGGTGGCATGGAGGGTGGGCGCCACAGCCTGGGGGGTGGCATGGAGGGTGGGCGCCACAGCCTGGGGGGGTGGCATGGAGGGTGGGCGCCACAGCCTGGGGGGTGGCATGGAGGGTGGGCGCCACAGCCTGGGGGGTGGCATGGAGGGTGGGCGCCACAGCCTGGGGAGTGGCATGGAGGGTGGGCGCCACAGCCTGGGGGGTGGCATGGAGGGAGGGCGCCACAGCCTGGGGGGTGGCATGGAGGGTGGGCGCCACAGCCTGGGGAGTGGCATGGAGGGTGGGCGCCACAGCCTGGGGTGTGGCATGGAGGGTGGGCGCCACAGCCTGGGGAGGGGCATGGAGGGTGGGCGCCACAGCCTGGGGAGTGGCATGGAGGGTGGGCGCCACAGCCTGGGGGGTGGCATGGAGGGTGGGCGCCACAGCCTGGGGGGTGGCATGGAGGGTGGGCATGGAGGGTGGGCGCCACAGCCTGGGGGGTGGCATGGAGGGTGGGCGCCACAGCCTGGGGGGTGGCATGGAGGGTGGGCGCCACAGCCTGGGGGGTGGCATGGAGGGTGGGCGCCACAGCCTGGGGGGTGGCATGGAGGGTGGGCGCCACAGCCTGGGGAGTGGCATGGAGGGTGGGCGCCACAGCCTGGGGGGTGGCATGGAGGGTGGGCGCCACAGCCTGGGGGGGGGGTGGCATGGAGGGTGGGCGCCACAGCCTGGGGGGTGGCATGGAGGGAGGGCGCCACAGCCTGGGGGGTGGCATGGAGGGTGGGCGCCACAGCCTGGGGGGTGGCATGGAGGGTGGGCGTCACAGCCTGGGGGGTGGCATGGAGGGTGGGCGCCACAGCCTGGGGAGTGGCATGGAGGGTGGGCGCCACAGGCTGGGGGTGGCATGGAGGGTGGGCGCCACAGCCTGGGGGTGGCATGGAGGGTGGGCGCCACAGCCTGGGGGGTGGCATGGAGGGTGGGCGCCACAGCCTGGGGGGTGGCATGAGGGTGGGCGCCACAGCCTGGGGGGTGGCATGGAGGGTGGGCGCCACAGCCTGGGGGTGGCATGGAGGGTGGGCGCCACAGCCTGGGGGGTGGCATGGAGGGTGGGCGCCACAGCCTGGGGGGTGGCATGGAGGGTGGGCGCCACAGCCTGGGGGGTGGCATGGAGGGTGGGCGCCACAGGCTGGGGGGTGGCATGGAGGGTGGGCGCCACAGCCTGGGGGGTGGCATGGAGAGGTGGGCGCCACAGCCTGGGGGTGGCATGGAGGGTGGGCGCCACAGCCTGGGGGGTGGCATGGAGGGTGGGCGCCACAGCCTGGGGGTGGCATGGAGGGTGGGCGCCACAGCCTGGGGGGTGGCATGGAGGGTGGGCGCCACAGCCTGGGGGGTGGCATGGAGGGTGGGCGCCACAGCCTGGGGGGTGGCATGGAGGGTGGGCGCCACAGCCTGGGGGGGCATGGCATGGAGGGTGGGCGCCACAGCCTGGGGGGTGGCATGGAGGGTGGGCGCCACAGCCTGGGGGGTGGCATGGAGGGTGGGCGCCACAGCCTGGGGGGTGGCATGGAGGGTGGGCGCCACAGCCTGGAGGGTGACATGGAGGGAGGGCGCCACAGCCTGGGGGTGGCATGGAGGGTGGGCGCCACAGCCTGGGGGTGGCATGGAGGGTGGGCGCCACAGCCTGGGGGAGTGGCATGGAGGGTGGGCGCCACAACCTGGGGGGTGGCATGGAGGGTGGGCGCCACAGCCTGGGGGGGTGGCATGGAGGGTGGGCGCCACAGCCTGGGGGGTGGCATAGAGGGTGGGCGCCACAGCCTGGGGGGTGGCATAGAGGGTGGGCGCCACAGCCTGGGGGGTGGCATGGAGGGTGGGCGCCACAGCCTGGGGGTGGCATGGAGGGTGGGCGCCACAGCCTGGGGAGTGGCATGGAGGGTGGGCGCCACAGGCTGGGGGGTGGCATGGAGGGTGGGCGCCACAGCCTGGGGGGTGGCATAGAGGGTGGGCGCCACAGCCTGGGGGGTGGCATGGAGGGTGGGCGCCACAGCCTGGGGGGTGGCATGGAGGGTGGGCGCCACAGCCTGGGGGTGGCATGGAGGGTGGGCGCCACAGCCTGGGGGGTGGCATGGAGGGTGGGCGCCACAGCCTGGGGGTGGCATGGAGGGTGGGCGCCACAGCCTGGGGGGTGGCATGGAGGGTGGGCGCCACAGCCTGGGGGTGGCATGGAGGGTGGGCGCCACAGCCTGGGGGGTGGCATGGAGGGTGGGCGCCACAGCCTGGGGGTGGCATGGAGGGTGGGCGCCACAGCCTGGGGGTGGCATGGAGGGTGGGCGCCACAGCCTGGGGGGTGGCATGGAGGGTGGGCGCCACAGCCTAGGGGTGGCGCGGCCGGCCGGCAGCAGTGTGTCGGCTGCTAGTGTGGTCGTCGGCCCCCCGCCATACCGTCCACGCCGCCCTCACCTTACGTGACTGACTCCAGGCCAGCCAGAATGTCTTACTGTAAACAGGAAGGTAAACACACACAGGGTTCAAGTGCAAGCAGTCGAGGGGCGGCGTGTTGTGTGGCCCTGCTGGGGAGGTGGAGCTTTATGTGCTGATGGAGGAGGCTAAGGTTGGCATGTTATGGGTGCCACAAGAATTGCTAACACGGCCGTGATTAACGTCCACACGCGGCTCTTTTTATTTGCTTGAATTCTTTCAACTAGAGTTTAAGATATGTTTATGAAAGTAATAACAGTAAAAACTGAGCAAAGTCTTGAGGTGAATGGCCTGAGTGAACTGCAGCTCTGGGCTTTTGCTCTTTTCGGTTCTAATGCACTATTAAAGTAGGTTTTAGATTCTAAACTTCTAAGGTAGTTTTAATATAGGTCTAAGGTACGTGAACGAGACACTTGCTTTGGAGTAATTGAAGAATTGTTTGAATGAGAAACCTTAGTCTAACCCACATACCTGCAGTACTTTAGGAAACTTTCATTATTAAAATGAATTGCTAAATTAGTCTCGAGTGCTTAATAGTTTTCCAGTATGCTATCCATGTATAGTCAGATTTCCACATTAGTAATTTGTATCACAATGAGATGGGGAAGCAGTCATACACAGGCCGGGTATGATCGTTTTGGACATGAGACAATTCGATGAGGTTCTTGTTGAAACTATATGTATTATGCTATCATGTATTAGATTAGGCTGTATTGAACTTGTTTGGGTTAGGTAGGTCTCAAAATCTGTTGGTAAATCATCTTGTCTATGATGTGACTTGTATCCACACATGCATTTTGACGAAGCTTTTTTTTTTTTTTTTGTAATTGTCAAAACTGTATACTTGTATATCAAAGGGTACGGTTAAGTAGGTTTTAAATGGTTAGCAAACCATCTTGCATATGAAGCAACTTGTATCTACCATAGGTTATGGCATCTCTCTTGTATGTTCCTCTGTAAAAATAGAGGAACATACCAAAAAAAAAAAATTCCACTGCTGCCCATACAATGGGTATAGGGTGCATAAAAAAAAAAAAGCTGCAACAGTACCACAGGTTGTCATCTAGCAGCCAAATAGTGCAGTGCCCCCATGGGCTGGTAGCAAATAACGCCTCTCGATCAACCTAAACAAATATGTTTTGTTTAAGTTGATAATTTCAATGGATAAGATATCACTCCAGGCATGTGTGCTGTCCATGGATAACTGGTATGTAAACACAGGATTAATTAAGTAGCACTCCTAAAACAAATCTATGCAGTGTCTTTTCATAAAAGCACACCGAAATTGTTGCTCTTGATGTTTCACCCCGAGAACCTGGTAAACGCAGTTGGGTCACAGCCCAAAGGTCACAAATTTGATTCCTGTGACAGGACAGAAGCATTTGAGCAATGTTTTCTTTCACATGATGCCTCGTGTCACCAAGCAGTAAATAGGCAGCAGGAAGTCGGGCAACTATTGTAGGTTGCATCCAATGGAGAGTCAGTAGTTTGAGGTTGGTAAGTCTTATAGGTTACCTGTACCCAGGAAGCCAGGCCACCACTTTAAACTAAAGGTGAATTTTAATGAATATAAAGGGCAACAGTGTTAAGCCACAGTGTAGGACAAAAAAAAAATAAAAATAAAGAGGCTTTCTCATAAATAGGGTTATGAACCCATGGAACTACCTACTCACTGAAGCAGTTGCAACTTATATTTATGTGTATATATATTTGGTTGATTAGACACAAAGAGTTTAGTGTTTTTTTTTTATATTTATTTAGTATAGTCTTGGTTGCAGCAGTCAGTTGTTGGCAATGTAGTGAAGTGTCGTAGTAGTTGAGACAAAGCCTGGAGCTGGACAGAGACCTGAGTGAGGTCGGGAATAAAGAGCAATTCGGATGCGGGGTAAGAGTGTAGAGCGTGGCACTTTGGATGTGGGCAGAGTCAAAGAGCGCGAGTGCGGGACGAGAACATGGAAGCTCGATGCAGCCAGAGTCTGGCTCTCTGCTGTGTGTTGAGGCTGAAGCGTCTTGTTAGAGTAGGAAAGCGTAGCTCTCATCTTGTAACTACACTTAGGTAAAAATTGTTGTAGGTGAATGTTGAAGATACTGTATGTGGTATCTCTCAAGTGTCCGTACTGAACTACTCTTGGAATTTAAACCTATGATAATTCGCTGTCAACTATAGTAGTTATATTACCAGTTCCCACCTCATCTGACCATCATCTAACAGTTTGGGAAGAAGTATTAACTGTAATTATTTGTACATGGGAAATGTGATAACTTAAGAGATAGATTATGTAGGACTAACAACCCCATCTCTTTATCTCCACATTAGCTAATGAGAGTATGGAGCAAGTATATTAAATTTGCTACAGTAAAAGCAAAGATATTACTTCAGGTCAAAATCTAATCAAATATTTTCCTCAAAAATAATGGGGGGATCTCTATCTTGAGATTATTCTTGAGATGATTTCGGGGCTTAGCGTCCCCGCAGCCAAGTCCTTGACCAGACCTCCTTTTTGTTACACATCCCCAGGAAGCAGCCTGTAGCAGCTGTCTAACTACCAGGTACCTATTTACTGCTAGGTGAACAGGGGCATCAGGGTGAAAGAAACTTTGCCCATTTGTTTCTGCCTCCACTGGGGATTGAACCCGGAACCTCAGGACTACGAATATCAAGCTCTGTCCACTGAGCTGTCAGAGGCCCCATCTCTGACAAACTACCAAATTCCTGTCCCCATTGAGGCCACTAGCGAGAAGGTGAACCAGAACAAAGTTTATATTGTTGCAGTTGCTGGACACTAAAGGTGATGCAATATTGTCCATTTTGGGTTTTAAGTAAGTGTGGATAAGTATGGGTAATTACTTAAGCATATCTACCTAAGTGTAGTTACAGAATGAGAGCTACACTCAATATCTTCCCAGTACAGTACACTTTGTTATATGATGATTTGAAACTACCCTCTCACTCAACTTGTTCCAACTGTCTATCACATTGTTTGCCAAAGTGAATTTTATTTTTTTGATAGCTATGTTTCCTCTTTTCTTGAAGTTTTCTCCTTTTGATGTGGCAGTTTGAAAAGTTTTTCGTTAATTTTGTTGATTCCTGTTATTATTTTGTGCATAATGTTCATGTCACCACTTTTTTTACTTCTATCTTCTAGTATTGGCATGTTTAAACTAACCTCTTTTCATAGCTGCTGTATAGTCTTAATGCCTTGGTGCTTTCTCCTGATAATTAACTTACCTCTCTTCATAGCTCTTGCTTTTCAGTTCCGGCAGCCATTTAGTTGTATGTCTTTACACCTTTTCTAATTTATTAATGTGCTTCTTGAGATACGGGCATCATACAACTACTTCTACTCCTCCCCAGCCAGGATATGAACCAAGGCCATATCGCTTATGAAGTGCAGGGCAAGTGTGTTACCACTGTGCCATCATCCATGTACAGTATTTAAAAACCATTCTAAAGTTGGAAAGTGTAGCATACACTTCACCCACAGTGTTCTTTATGTGGTACATACTCGGAGACAGCTTTCTATCCAGAACCATTCCCAGGTCTCTCTCTATCAGAATTCTTTAAAGCTTTTCACATAACTTTTATGTTGTGTGTGGCCTATTATCTCATATTCCACATTTTGTCCAAGCCTTCTTGAAGGGTATGACAATTGTCTTAAGTTTATCTTCCCTAGTAGGGAAGGGAGCCGGTCGGCCGAGCAGACAGCACGCTGGACTTGTGATCCTGGGTTCGATCCCAGGCGCCGGCGAGAAACAATGAGCAGAGTTTCTTTCACCCTATGCCCCTGTTACCTAGCAGTAAAATAGGTACCTGGTTGTTAGTCAGCTGTCACGGGCTGCTTCCTGGGGGTGGAGGCCTGGTCGAGGACCGGGCCGCGGGGACACTAAAGCCCCGAAATCATCTCAAGATAACCTCAAGATAGTAGCTTGGAGTCATCAGCAAAATGTTCATATAATTCTGTATTCCTTCTGGTAAATCGTTTATCTAGACAATGAACATTACTGGTGCAAAAACTGAATTCTGTGATACTCAACTAGAAACATTTCTCCAGTCTGATAAATTGCCTATGATTATTGCCCTTATTTGTCTGTCAGAATTTTTTTTACTAAAGTTAGAAGTATCTCTGTCACTCTTCCAATATTTCCCAGTTTCCAGAACAACCTTTTTTGTGGGACTCTGTTGACTACATTTATCTGGTCCTAGAAATAGACTTTCAACCCAACCATCTCTTCTCTGTAAAATCTCTTTGGCTCTATCATAGAAACAAGTAATATTTGTTTTATAGGATCTTCCTGGTCAAAAACCATAATGTTTGTTATTATATAATTTCTTTCCAGGTATTCCACCCATTTGGTTTGAATTATTTTCTCTTAATATTTTGACTCCCCAGGACCTCTATCCTTTTCCCATCAGCTGTCAGTCCCACTGATGGAGCCTGTGTATCAATTTGCATCCTGATTTTCTATTTCATCAAACTTCCATCTTAATGACCATTATTTGGATGAGATAAATGTTTGCATCTTGGCAAAAGTAGATTGGTCATTATTAACACTGGCACTGTTTGAAAGATGTGTTCCATTACAATTTTGTCACTTGACATCAGTGTGTTGCAAGGTTATAGCATGGTTATGGAAAATAGTGTAGCATGCTTAGCCAGCAAAATATTAATTGCAATGCATTTTGTTGGGAAAATAATCTGGCATAGTAGGTGGTGCTGCTGCTGCTGCTCCAAATTTAATCTACTAATATCCTAAATGTTTTGGTATGATAGATTTGTTAATTTATTTGTTCTTAGGTAATCAATATCTTATTCTAAAAAGATCATTTTGTACCTTGTGAATTCAGAGCTAATATGTACGTAGTTATGGGGGTCTGTAGTACAGTTGGGTTTGTTTTTAACTCTCAATCATGAAGCCTGGATTTGAATCTCAGGTCGGTCAATATTTTGACCTTAGGAGGGCCCTTTGATATAAGCTTAATACATATACTGTACAAAGGCTGCCTTTCCCTGACAAAATTGTAAATGGTTTTTCTGGGGGGAGCCCCGTCGGCTCCCCGGAGCTTTACCAGGCTGATATGCTAATGTCAGACTTTGGCATCAATCATGTGTATGGAGTTCTAGGGCCTACCGGGGACCATGACCAGAACCTGGCTCCCTCAGAGAGGCAAGGGGAGCAATGGCCTATAGAAACCCCCCGTGTGGTTGGAAGCATTCTATGTCTACCATCGACCGGTTCAAGCATCCAGAAAGGTAAGCATTCCAAAACAAACCCCTATTCTGGTGAAAATTGCTACCTAAAGCTGAACTAGTGGATAGAACTCCCCAACAGAAAACAAGCAAACTAGTATGACGTCATACGTCACTGTGCCGCTGTCTGCGCAGCTCCCCCCTCCCCGGGAGGGGGAAGGGGGAGCCCCAGACCTTCCACGCCGGCTATTCACCCATCAGTTCTTTGGCTGATGCTATAGGCACCGGTTATGTGCTCCGGCTCCAGTGGTTGTTTCAGCACTGTACCTAGAGTGTGGTGTCTGTTTTCTAGGTGGGTGCGTGAGCTGGGAGTGATTCTCCAGTACTCGGGCTGCATGCGCCTAGGGTTCCCTTCCCTAGGTGCCCTGTAAGTACTGCCCTTGGGGCTTGGGGCCACCTTCCACAAGTTCCTTGGGTCCTGCCCCTGCTAGGCCGTTTACTGCTTGGTTTTCGGCCGCTCTTTGTGTGCTCGGGTGTTCTGTCTCCCTTGTTCGCCTTAGAGTAAGGGGCAGTTTTTGCACTGGTGGGGCGCAGGGTACTGTGCAGCTTGTCTTTACCAATCATGGCGGCCGGCTCTGTTCCGCTTGGGTACGCTGTCCTCTTGCGGGGTTTTCTTTTTCTTCTTGTTTATCTACCTGGTGGGGGGGTCTGCCTTCGTTCCATCTCCTTGTGCCGCCTGGGTTTCGGTGGTCGCGCCCGAGATCTTCCCGCGGCTCCGCCTTTTCCTGGGCTCGGAGGGGCCTTGTCGGGGCTGCTTATGTTCTGCCTCGCGGTCTCGCCTCCGGTTGGTGGTCGGGTGGCTTCGTGGTAGGTGTCCCACCTGCGTGCTTCTCTTGGCGGCAGTATGGGGTATTTTGGCGGTCCTTCCTTTTCCTGTCCCTTCTTAGGTGGTTACTCTTGTTAGCTTGGTTTACTCTCGGCTTGGTTTTCTGGTGGGGGTTGGGGGCCGTCGTCTTGCCACATACTGTCGCCTCTTTTCGTGCGGCGCTGGCGGAGCCGCTTCGGCTTGCTTTCGGTCTTGGTGTTGCTTCTGCACCGTTAGTAAGCTGTCTTGTGCGTCGTTTCACCTCCGGCCTGTTCGTGCGCCGCTTGCACCATCCTGGTCTCTGGTCAGCGTGCTCTGTCTTCTCCTCGGTTGGTAGTGCCCCTTCGGTTCCGGTGTGTTTTTTCGTCGGCTCTTTTTCCTTTTGGCATTTGCCTCTGGGGGTCGGGTCGCTGAGTTTTCTTGCTCCTTCGGTTTTAGCGTTTTGGTTGTTCGGTGGCAGCAGTCTCCATCTTTTCTGGCGCGGGGTGGGGCTGCTGCGTTCTGGAGGGGTCCAGGGTTTGTTGGTGCTTCGTTGGTCGGGCCGGGGGTGTGTCGTGTTTTGTGTTCAGTGGCGGCCCTCCGCTGTTGTTTGCGTGCCACGGCGTCTGGGTCCGGAGCGCGTTTTGCGTTGATCCGGTTCTGTTCTTCCTGGTTCGCGGGTGATGGTGTCCCGGGTTGTCAGCCGTGTTCTTGCGGCTAAGCTGCCTGTGTTCTTCCCTCATGCCCGTGGCGTTCGTGGCTTCGCTGCTCTCGCTGCCGTCTGGGCGACGTGTCCTTGCGGTCTTTCGGGCATGGATTTTTGGTGTTCGTGCAGGGGCCTTGCTGCTCGTTGTTCTCGTGTTGTTCCCGGGACTTTTCGGGGCTGTGGCGCCTTGGGTTGGCGTTTGCTGCCGGTTGTCTCGCTTCCGTGGGGGGTGCGTGGTGTCCGCCTCCCGGTTCCGTCCCTTTGACCTTCCTCTGTGGGTAGTTAGCTCCGGGGAGCCAACGGGGCTCCCCCCAGAAAACCAGCGTTGAATGTAATGAAACGCCATTTTCTGGGTGAGACCCGGAGGCTCCCCGGCAACCCTCCCTCCTTCCCTCCGGTCGGCGGTTTTTCGCGTGTTTTGACATCCAGCCTCAGAACTGATGGGTGGATAGCCGGCGTGGGAGGTCTGGGGCTCCCCCTTCCCCCTCCCGGGGAGGGGGGAGCTGCGCAGACAGCGGCGCGGTGACGTATGACGTCATACTAGTTTGCTTGTTTTCTGTTGAGGAGTTCTATCCACTAGTTCGGCTTTAGGTAGCAATTTTCACCAGAATAGGGGTTTGTTTTGAATGCTTACCTTTCTGGATGCTTGACCCGGTCGATGGCAGACATAGAATGCTTCCAACCACACGGGGGTTTCTATAGGCCATTGCTCCCCTTGCCTCTCTGAGGGGGCCAGGTTCTGGCCGTGGTCCCGGTAGGCCCTAGAACTCCATACACATGACTGATGCCAAAGTCTGAGATTAGCATATCAGCCAGTAAAGCTCCGGGGAGCCTCCGGGTCTCACCCAGAAAATGGCGTTTCATTACATTCAACGCTGGTTTTTTTTTAACTGAAGGACTGTTTTGATATCGCTTTAGTTTGTATAAGATTTCATGGATTTAATTTGCTACAGGATAGAACCATCTGTTCTCTGTCTAGCATTTTGGATCATTTAGCTTCAGGCTGTTGCCCCTTGTGAAAGTTGTGCTAGATCATTTAAACCAGGAGTCTAGATTAATATAGTATCTTCTAATTTTGTCAGTATTTTTAAGATCTGAAATATCAGCCCTGCTATGTCTAGTTAGCAAAGTTGTTAGTCTTTAGGCCCTGAGCCTCTCCTGGTAAGTCAACTTCCATATCCGGGAAAACTGAAGGCCTCTTGATTAATGACTGCATACAACGATGCATACAGGGCTGATCTCGGCCCTTTAAAAGAAGAAATAAATTAGACATTTATGCAGAAGGCTTATTTTATAATGTCCAACATAACACATAAGGAGCAACAGCTTAAACTCAACAAGCCAAAATTTAGGATATTTAAGTACTTCAGTTCAAAATATTTATAGAAAAATATCACGATTAGTTAGGAGACCTTGCTTACAAAAGCCACCTGTTTCTTGTTACCATTCAGGCCACTACAGATGGTCCTCAGGTAAATTTAAATAAATTATGTTTACATTATAGTTGCTGTAGGTATAGTATTGCATCTGTTGACAGGCAAGGATCGTGTGGTTTTTGTGACGGAAGAGGATCACAGTAAACCTGCAGCCGTGTCGTTGCCCGAAGACGATGATCCTCCAGGTATGACAGTACAGTACTTTTATTAAGTTAGGTTTAAAGATAATCATTCTTATTCTTTATATGGTTGGTGTGTTTTTCATTCCCACAAGGGTTAACACTTGTCAACTTTCCAACTCAGGTCACAGTGCTGCTAGAAATACATGTTTAAAAGCAGTGTGAAGTATATTTTGAGGATCACATGTGTAATCACCTAAGCTTAGCTACAGGATGAGCTATTCTCGTGGTGTCCCATCTTTGCAATACTCTTTGTAGTATGAGACTGAAATTACTGATGGTTTGGCATCCATTCCCTTTTCCTTATCAGACTACCTGGAAAGCCTATGCATTGCGGGACAAAGAGTTGGCCAAATGTTTCTCCAAAATGCTGTTAAAAGTGCAAACCAAAAAAGGAATAGCATGAAGAACCCAAAGCCAATGCACTCCTCTGTGATGTGCGAGAAGGAGCAAGCACAGAGGCCTGGGAATCTGACTCCTCTGGAACACTACCCTGACCAACAACAGGCAAGGATCTGTCCTGAACTGTCTCCTCTGATCAGTGAGGGTAGATTCTTAGTGCAAAAAAAGTTGATTGGCTAAATAACTGAAAAGCCACTGCTGCAGCCAAAAGAACCACCCTTGTCTCAGGGTGACACTCACCAGTTGTGCCTCCGCCATGCTGCCTGTTGGGTCGTTGTTTCTTATGACCCGGAGTCGTGCGACAGGTGTTGTCGGTACGTGCTCTCGTTCACCCAGGCCACTGGTCATGATAATCAGGTGCAGGCAGCTGCGGCGTTGCTTGCTAAGTGTAGGTTGCGGCAACGCTCTTGGTTGCTTACCGCCCTGGATGCCCCGAGGCTGCCTGTTTTGGTTGTTGGGGTCCGGACTTGGGGGTGGGGGTCGCTTCGGCTCTGGCTCCTTCCGCTCCTCGTCCTTTCCCTTCTGTTCTGTACACTTCCTCCCTAGCTTCCGGCCCCGAATCATAGGCGGGTTTCGGGGTTGGAGTGGGGTCTGGTTGGGTTGAGACTCGGGTGGTCTTAGGGGGTTTTCCTCTTCCAGGGTGGCGGCGGAGGCACTTGAGTCAGTTCCTCCAGCCGTGCCGTATGGGTCTGACCAGTGGGCTCTCTTCCTTAGTGTTTGTACGGCTGCCTCGGCTTTTCCTTGTCAAGCTGGGGCTTTGGGGTTTGTGGCTCGGCCCTGGGTCTTGCCGTAGAGGTTCCCGGGGTTGGGGAGGGGTTGCCTGGGGGGCCTCAGCCCCGTTTGCCCCTCTTAGGTCTTTGTACCCACAGTGAGGGGCTGGCAGTTCCTCAGAGTGGGGTAGTTCCTTCCCCCTCTGTGTTCATGTTGGTTTTGGGTATACCCCTCCCTTGGTTCGGTTCCGTGTCCCTTCGGGTTCGTTGGTCCCGTCGGTCCTGGGGGATGTTTTGCCCCCTTTTCCTTACCCTTTTCGCGCTTACGTGGCGATACTGTTCACTTCGTATTGAGGTCCCTGCGTGTCCTTTGATCAGGGGTATATTTTTGTCCATATGTACCTCCGTGCGTTTGTGCTTGCTTGTCGTGGTTCTAGTTGGTTCGCGCATCTCTTCGTACCTTCCAATATTGTTGGAACATTTGACTTCCAATGTGGTTTCCCTCTGGTCCTTTGTCGGCCTCATTTGTTCCCTTCTGTCCTCTGTCTTCTTTCGCTTCGGTTTCGCCTTGTTTTGTTCTCACGTCGTCTCTCCTTCCAGTTTCGACGTTCCTCGTCTTCGTTACGTCCACCTTCCTGGTGTTTGTACGATGTGTGTATACAATGTGTCTGTACATTTTGTGTGTATGATATGTGTAGTCCGCCTCGTGTACGAGCCGTGCCATCCTGTACACGGGTGGTGCGTTTCGTACCTCGTGCACTGGGGCTGCGGTGCTTGTGTGTTCCGCGTCGTTTCTCGCGGTTTTCTACGGCTTCTTGCTCGTTTTCTCCCTCCAGTTGTAGCCCTCTAGATGCTGGGGGTGTTCTGGATTTTATATATGGGGGCATCACTTTGTTCTTTCCTCTCCTTCTGGGTGTGGGGTGGCTTGGAGTGGCGCCTCCTCCTCCTCTGAACTGCTCTTCGTCTTCTGCTGGGCGCGCGCCTCTGGACGTATTTTGCCTTAGACTTCCATATTTTATTCAGGTAACAGTACATACACTGCCTACTGCCTCTAGTATGCATGGTGTTCAAGTGCACCACTAACGATGCTCCTGGTATGTTACTTGGCTCGACTGTGTTGTGGCACGGTCATTTGTCTGCTCTGCAGGTGAGATTGTCATGTCTGGCGCCTCGGTCGGCCAGGTGCTGATTCTCGACTTTTGGTGGGGTGCTTGCGGGGGTTGAGCTCTGGCTCTTTGGCCTCGCCTCTCTCCTGTCAGTCAATGGTTGTACAGTTTCCAGAGCCTCCTGTGCTCTGTATTATCGACATTTGCTCCTGTGGGTAGAGTCTGCCTCCACCGGTTCCCTCCACTGAGGGAGCCGGTAGGCCGTGTGGACAGCACACTGGACTTGTGATCCTGGGTTCGATCCCAGGCGCTGGCGAGAAACAATGGGCAGAGTTTCTTTCACCCTATGCCCCTGTTACCTAGCAGTAAAATAGGTACCTGGGTGTTAGCCAGCTGTCACGGGCTGCTTCCTGGGGGTGGAGGCCTGGTCGAGGACCGGGCCGCGGGGACACTAAAGCCCCGAAATCATCTCAAGATAACCACGTCGCTTCCTAGTGTTTTCCACTTCCTATCTCCTCTAACATTGATCTGGTTCTTTTTCATGTCTGTGGCTCATTTGGGTACTCGGCTTCCTCCTGTGTCCCCTTGTGCATGTGCCACCCTTGGTCACTGCTCCATCCTTGTTTACTCTGTCACTTCCCTGCTTGGCGGGGTTGCGTCGATGGCTCCTAACAGGGGTGTTAGGTTTTATGTGTTGTGTTTGGTCACCTTGCGTGTGTCTTCAGTGACTTTCCTTTGTCTGTGTATCTTGTTTTTTGTTGTCCTGTGGGGCTCTGCCCCGCATTTCGGTGCTTTTGGTTTCGTTGTCGGCACCTGGGTCTTCCCTATCTGGACACTCATTCCTTGCCTATCTTCGGTGCCTGGCTGCACCCTAATATCCATGATGTCCCTCGGGTATGTGCGTCCTCCGTTACACATTTTGTGGTTGGTCGTGTGCATTGCACTCCCGGCCACTTCTTGGTCCGTATTTGGGGTTTTCCTTGCCTTTTTCTATTTTTCCTCCTCCTATGTTACACTTGACTGTGTATCTGGGTCGGTGCTTATTGACTGTCCCGATGTTGGGTGCTCGGGTGGGCCTCTGTCCATGTTCAGTTCCCTGCTTTTGGACTACCCTGGTGTTCGTTTTGATACCGAGTTCCTACACTTTTTCTTTGTAACTTACTGCAGGCTTGGGTATTGCACAGTCTGTGGGGGGATTGTGGACTTTCGGTCCACCGCTCCTGCCTTAATGGTTCCTTTTCTTGGAACAGGTAGCTGGTTTCCGGTCCTGGCTTTGGTTTTTCTTTGTCCCTTTTCCGGAACATGTGTGTTTGCTTTCCTGCGGTTCACGTCCTGTGTAGTTCTCCTCATGGATGCCTCAGGGACGCATGCATCATTCTTCCCTGCTGGAGCTGGTTAGGTTGCTCCTTTGGGTTGCGGAGTCGCTGTTTTTCGATTCGCGTTTTGCGCTTTCGTTTGTGATGCTCGTTTTCCTCGTTGGCCATTGCCTGGGTTCTGGCTCCTTGGTGTTTAGCCTTGGCCCTTCAGGGGTCCTGGGGTGGGGGGTTCCTCCCGAACGGGGTGTTTCTGCTCACCCGGGTTGGTTTTTTTGGCTTGCTGGGGTTGGGTTCCTTGTTTCCCTGGCGGCTGTTTCTTTTGGTTTTTGCCTGCCTTGGCGAGACCTGCTGCTTTCCTCGGTTCCGGTCAGGTGGGTCTTCCCGCAGCTCCGCCTCTTTTTTGCGGATCGGTCCTGCTCTGTACAGGGCTGGTTCGTTCTTCCCCTCGAGTTTTCGTGTCTGAGGTTTTTGTCTTGTTTCTCGTCACTTGTGTCGGCACTGGTGGGTTCGTTGTTGGTCTCCCACCTGTGTGTTTCGTCTCAGGGGCGGTGTGGTTTTCCTGGCGGTCCTTCCGGTTTTCCTATCACTGCGAAGAGTCCTTCGGTCTCTGATAGGGTTGGCTTGTCTTCCCTTCGGGGTTGTTTCTTCACTTGCAACCATCTTTCTGGCAGAGATAGAGAAGGTTGGCTTTTAGAGGGGTCACATAGTGTTTAATGCTTGGTTTGTTCAGCTGGAGTATACCTTCTGATGTATCCGGTTATGCCAGTTTATCCCTACTGGTGCGCCACCCTTTATACTTTGGTGGATGCTCTGTTTGTTGATCTGGTTTCCTTGGTTCCCTTTTCCACTGTGTGTTTGTTCCAAGTCATCCTTGGTGTCATTAACGTTAGCCAGCCTGTGACTACCCTTGAGCCCAAGTTGTTCATAAGTTTGCTACTTGGGCTGCCATCTTCACAATTATGTCATGGGTTATTAGGAATTCAGGGGGTTTTGGCAGTATGGAATTAGGTCAGTATTCCTAGTCTCAAGTCATGCTTGTTACCCTGGGTCGGGTTCCCAGCCTGACATTTCATCTAAGACTGTAGCTGGTGCCTTCCCCCCCCCCCCCCATCCAGATAAGTCCTTTGTTTTCCTTCCTCTGTGATTGGTTAACTTCAAGTAGTTACCAAGGGGCTACCCCAAGAAAATCAGCTTTGAATATAATGAAATGCCTCCTCCTAGGTGAAAGTGAGTTGGGAAGCCATGGGCACTCTTAACTCCCTTCCCACCATGCCAGGTATGTAAATTCATGGTCAATCAGCTCAGGACTGACCAGACACAAGCTTGAAACTGGAACACCACCTGTTGGTGGCACTTCCACACCGAGGGTTGTTTCGCACTCAATTTAGATTGATACATTTCCCTTTAAATGAACCTTTTGCAGTGTCTGTTGGCTGTTTCAGTGCTTCGTTTTCACGAACTGTGCAGTTGTTTGTACAGTATTGTGTTGTCTACTCTCTGGTTGCTTTCCCAGTGAGGATGATCATCATAATTCCCTGCTCTCTGTGAGTGGCAAGGTTCTGGCTCTGGTCCCCTGTAAGCCAACAGGACGCCTATGACTGATGTGACTGAGTAATGGGAAGCCGAGTGATATAACTTAAGGGGGGCCACTGGGGCTCGCCCAAAAAGGAGTGTTTCATTACATTTGATGCTACTGCCAACACCAAACACATCTGCAAGCTTTCTCACACTTCAGACAAGCACTTTTCTATACAAGTTAGCATTTTTTTTACTCACTAATATGTAATACCAGTACTAAAAGGAAAATGAATGTAATTCTTGCAATAACACCAGGTAAGAGTTAGCACAGGGACAGCTTTCATGGTTAGGTCACATCCACTGGTGATACAGCAGACACACCACTCGGAAAAATTGAACATTAACTGTATTGTAAAATTTTGAGTATAAGACAGCAAAATAGTTAAAAAGTTAACAAAAATTAAATAAATAAATAAATTACTGCTATGAATGCAAATATACAATTGGCTAGAAATTATTGTAGGCAATCTAGATTGGTGGTGGTGTTTTCGTGAATAGGAGTCCTCTTCTGAATTTGTGTAGCTTCCAAAAGAGGAGTTGAGGGTTCTGCATTATTCAGTAGGGGTTGCACTGATTAACTTAGCCAATTTTTGCTTGCTTATATATGAAAGCTTTTCATGCGTCTATGTAAAACAAATACACTGGCCATTTGTAGCTACTTCATAACTTTCCTAAACCATCTGTGTGTATCATTCGTTCTTGAGATATACTTTCAAAGCTTTTTTTTTTAATACTTCAGATGGTTGTTTAAATACTTTAATAATAATGGAGTGGGAGAAGGATTTGTGTAAGTAAATTTATTTAAAATAAAGCATGTATTTTATTTTTCTACATACTGTAATTCTTTTCTTTTTCTCTCTGATAGCAGGCCTAATACAACCAGATGGAGAAATCAACTGGGCTTGTCCGTGCTTAGGAGGAATGGCCACAGGTCCTTGTGGTGTTGAATTTCGGGAAGCATTTACGTGTTTCCATTACTCGACTGCAGATCCCAAAGGAAGTGATTGTTTAGAACCTTTCCGACAAATGTCAGAGTGTATGTCACAGTACCCTAATGTTTATGGTAATAAAGAAGACAAAAATGATATGCCGAAAGACGAATTACCAAGTGAGGCTTCGCCTGAAGTTGGAAATACACAAGTCTCGGCAAAGGCATAGCATTTTTCCTATGCCTATTAACATATTCGTTAATGTGTAAATAACAGCACTTGTTCATTGTAATAATTGAGCATTGCTGTATTTTTTATGGTTTGTGAGTGAAATTTGTTGATCAGGATTTGTACACTTGATATTTACATTTAAAGCTGGTTGACAAGTTTATGGGTACCATATAAATGGTTGCAGCTTGTATAAGTCGAGTGGTGCAAGATGTCCTCAGTGATGATGTCAGTGTACTGTAATCTGTCATCTGTGTGAGAAGATTCTCTATATATAAATTGGCTTTTGTCTTTTCAGTTGAATGTAAAAGTGAATGGCCCCTGTAGTAATATAATTTAATATAATAAAAACTATGATCATAGGTATTGTTGTATAAAGTAACATACAATTATGTATATTGTTTATGAACAAGGGTGTTAATCATGTAAAAACAATGTTAATGACAGCTGCAATTTTGTCCATAACTTTGGGGCAGATGGTATAAATGGAGACAACCTGCATAGAGATAACTATGCATGTTGACCAGACCACACACTAGAAGGTGAAGGGATGACGACGTTTCGGTCCGTCCTGGACCATTCTCAAATCGACTTGAGAATGGTCCAGGACGGACTGAAACATCGTCGTCCCTTCACCTTCTAGTGTGTGGTCTGGTCAACATACTTTAGCCACGTTATTGTGACTCATCGCCTGCATAACTATGCATGTTGATAATATAGACAATTATCAGTGCAAAGGAACAAAGTGAGAAGCTTTGGTTAGTCAGATATGAAAAAGTTATAGCAGAACATGACAAGTAAACAATCTTAAAAAAGTTGCAAGGATTGGGAAAGAGGAGTTATGCATATTCAGATTAAATAAAGGAATCATATCAATTTGAAAAATATCTACGAATACAAATCTTTTCTTTTTAATTAATTTAATGTGATAAAATCCTCTCCAGGTAAGTAATGAGATGGTTTGCATTCCAAACATGGGCATCATTTATGTCAGCAAGGTGAACACTTGTTCTTGGTCAGCAAGGTGAACACTTGTTCTTTTGAGTTTAGGAAAGGGACTAGTGGCCAGGAGAGATGCAGGAGGGGCAAGATTGTCCCGGTGCAAAACCAAAAGCTTAAACTTGTAAAAAAAAAATTGCAAATGAGGAATATACTGAATAATGGAATTATCCAAATTGCTGCAAAGTGTGTTAATCTGATGAAAATCAAGTTAAATATTTATCAACGATATTTTTTTAAATTCTGCAGATTAGATGGTGTGCTGTGCAAGGTGGCGAAACATATGGCTCTCTGAAGGGAGTTTGAAATAAAGTACTTACCATGTACTTAAATAGTAGTTACAGTAGTAATATAAAGTAGATAGTATTTAGTAGTAGTTAAATAGTAGAAAGCATGTGAATAGTAGGCAGAGATGAAATGAAATAATTATCAAAAGAAGGTGCCAGATGATAGCAGATGAAATTAAAGATGACTGTGAAGTTCAGCCTGTGAAGAGAATTACAATAAATAAAATAAATCGCACTCACTGTGCGTGAACATGTAAACAGAGAAAAGCAGGTCATAAAGCTGTGAAGAGAGTGCATTATGGAAATGTAATACAGTACTGTAGTTTGATGACTGTAGCTTTAAACTAAATGAACATGACAGGGCTAGAGGGAGAGTGTCTACTGTACATTGGTAGTATGTAAAAGTGTAGCCTAAAAGTATTTGTATAAAGATTAGCAAGAACAGAATAAGCATAAGTCATGGTATGATATATCCTCTAAAGCATAAAGTGGTTTAACTCGCTGAAAATGTTGATTTCAAGCAAGTCTTTGATCAAGTCCCATTACAGTGTATCCATACCTCATTATTTTAAAAATAAAACATTTTAATACACACTAACAGAATTATCATTTTATTTAATTTGTAACTACTATTGTATAAATTACTTTTGTTACATGAAGATGGAACTAGAAGCAGGACAAGCAAGAGAGGTTTTTAAGTGCTGCTTTCCTATTTCATTGTAATCAATGACCAATGTATTTCCTTCTACCCATACTGTAAGTGTTAACTACCTAGTTCAACCCTTAGGGTGTTCAAATTCGAGTTAGCACTATCATTTGTAAGTTGCATAGAAAAGTATAGGATAATTCATGTGCATGTGCTGCCAAAGAGGGGTAGGGAGCAGCTGTGTTTTGGGCTGCTGCTGTCAAAGTAGTGTAAACTGGAATGTATATTCTCAATTTTCAGGATTCGGGGGGGGGGGGGGGGGGGGGGGGGGGTTGACCATGAAACTACACACTTGAGATATTGCCCACATACCAGGTTACCTTGAGGTGCTTCCGGGGCTTAGCGTCTCCGCGGCCCGGTCGTCGACCAGGCCTCCTGGTTGCTGGACTGATCAACCAGGCTGTTAGACGCGGCAGCTCGCAGCCTGACATATGAGTCACAGCCTGGTTGATCAGGTATCCTTTGGAGGTACTTATCCAGTTCTCTCTTGAACACTGTGAGGGGTCAGCCAGTTATGCCCCTTATGTGTAGTGAAAGCGTGTTGAACAGTCTCGGGCCTCTGATGTTGATAGAGTTCTCTCTGAGTACCTGTTGCACCTCTGCTTTTCAACGGGGGTATTCTGCACATCCTGCCATGTCTTCTGGTCTCATGTGATGTTATTTCTGTGTGCAGGTTTGAGACCAGCCCCTCAATTATTTTCCACGTGTAAATTATTATGTATCTCTCCTGCCTGCGCTCAAGGGAGTACAGATTTAGGCTCTTTAGTCGGTCCCAGTAATTTAGATGTTTTACTGAGCAGATTCTAGCAGTAAAGGATCTCTGCACGCTCTCCAGGTCAGCAATTTTGGTTTGCAATCAGCCGTGAAGTTTAGGCTTACCGGGGACCAGAACCTGGCCCCCCTCAGAGACACAGGGAGCAGTGACATTTTGTCACCTCACCAAGGAGGGGCATCCAGAAAGTCAGTTGAAACAAACCACTGCTGGATTCAGAAGTGACCAAAGCCTTGCAAATTGGCTAATGAATGTAGCCAACTCGAGCTCATTCTCCCCATCTTCCCCCACTTTTGGGGAAAAGGGGCCTCACCACCTCGATTGGGTCTGAGCTGTCAGTTCTTACGCTGATGTAGTTGGGGTAACTTGACTGTTGTAGAGGTTCCTAGTTTACTTCTCATGTGGGTTGCACTGTACAACTAAGTGTTTTGGGGTCTTTGCCATTGGTGGCCTTTTTTGTACACTACTGTGTGGTGAGAGCCTGGAGCTGCATGTACTTGGTTACCTTCCCTGTTTACCCCCTAGTATTCACCTAGTTGTGCTTGTGGGGGTTGAGCTCTACTCTTTCAGCCCGCCTCTCAACTGTCAATCAATCAACTGTTACTAACTAACAAATTCCCCCCCCCCCCCCCCCTCAGGAAGTAGCCCATAACAGCTGTCTAACTCCCAGGTACCTATTTACTGCTAGGTAACAGGGGCATCAGGGTGAAAGAAACTGCCCATTTGTTTCTGCCGGCCCCGGGAATCGAACCCCGGTCCACATGACTACGTATCAGGTATGATGTCCACCCAGCCACTGGTCCCTATGTGCTGTGCTGTGCTGCCTAGTGCTCCCCTTGCATTGGCAAAGTTTTCTCCGGGGTGTTTGGGGGGGGGGGGTTGTCACTTGCTTAGTGGTGGTGGCCCTCACCCAGGGTGAGTAGTCTGGTGACTCCTGTCTTTACTTTATTAGGGTTGGGAGTGACTTTGGTTGGTGAGATGCACTGGTGGTTCGTGGGCTTCCCTGAAGCATGACGAGATTGGTCTTTATAGCCATGTAACCCAGACTGTCTGCTTGCTTTTTACAGTATCCCCAGTGCCTAGATGTCCTGCTTGGTTTACCCTTCAGTCTGGAAATCCTCTGCGGGTTCAACAGTCCTTGGAATATTCCCTTCTAACATGCTCTTCCTTGTTCGAGTTTGAGGGTTGTTCGACATCCATGTCATGGGTCTGCAATCACTTGAATTGCCTCCTCTATGCTGCCTGTTGAGTTGGTGATATCTTCAACCCTGAGTCTTGAGGGGTTTGCTCCCCACACGTGGCTAGTCTTTCTGACCCACCTGACTTTCAAATTTATATTTGCATATGGTGAAGTTGGCAAAAACTCGCCCAAATTCAATTTAGAATATATGTCTGCAGTAATCGACAAAATCTCTGGTTAGCTGAATTATTTGGATATAGCGAAGTTTTGCTGGAAAATTGTTCGGCCTTGAAAATTGCCAGATAACCCAAATGTGTTTGGATCAGTGAGCTCATAAAGTACTATGAGTTTCACACTAATTTTGAATGTTTTTCTTGTTGTGTGTGAATTATGGTGGAGTTGTTTGGCATTTTTAAGGTTTTGGCCTTTGTTAACCATCCAGTTGTCAGTAAAACTACGCTGACTTTCTGGATGCTTTCCTGGTGTGATTGCGAAATGTCACTTGATCTCTGTGACTCTGTGAGGAAGGGGAGGGGGGGGTTATCTTGATCTTGATCTTGATATGATTTCGGGGGGCTTAGTGTCCCCGCGGCCCGGTCCTCGACCAGGCCTCCACCCCCAGGAAGCAGCCAGTGACAGCTGACTAACACCCAGGTACCTATTTTACTGCTAGGTAACAGGGGCATAGGGTGATAGAAACTCTGCCCATTGTTTCTCGCCGGCGCCTGGGATCGAACACAGGATCACAAGTCCCGCGTGCTGTCCGCTCGGCCAACCGGCTCCCAGATTAATCTGCCCCCCCCCAGGGGGGGGGGCAGATTGTCTCCAATCCCCGGTAGGCCAAATAGAACTCCTGCATCTGATGTAACCTATTTACATGGAGCAATCTCAGTGAGATAGTTTCAAGGAGCCACTGGGGCTCGTCCAGAAAGAGGTGTGTCATTACATTCGATGCTGGATTTTGCTCTTATCTAACCATCTTTAACATACACAAAAATGATGGTATTATCTTTAATAGTTTTAGTGCTATTACTCATTGAGTTAGGTGTGGTGTCACTGGGTGCACAACTACAGAGGAAAATGTAAATATTGTTTTCACTTTCAAAATGCCTTTGACATTAATTTAACTACAGTATGCTAAAATGATGGTACATACTTTAAGCTACAATAAACAAACAAACATCACCTGGTAAGCATTTCTCAATTCTAAGATAAGGCACTTTGAATATAGCAAAACTTTAATTTCTGGTGGACCCCCTTGTGGCTTCTTGAAGCTATTTCACTGAGATATCTGAACATTTTGGTCTGTCCTGGATCGTTATCAAGTCGTATGGAAGAACTTCTAGGTCATCTCATCTGTGGAGTTCCGTTTGGCTTATTGGGGACCAGAGCCAGAACCTGGTCCTCTCGCAGAGATGCAGGCAGCAGGTGACTCACTATACCCATCGGGAAAGCATCCAGAAAGTTGATGCACCAATCAACAATCATATTGAACAATCAACCACAGAAGGTGATTCGGTGCTTTTAAAATGCTAAGCTAACTTACATACGTAAATACATAGATACACAGATTTACGTATGCCCTACATAAAGTGTTCGATGTGTCTTTTACATAGTGTCATTAATGTGCATTTACAAAGATGAAACGTAATTCTGATCAGCTTCCATATATACTTTATACACATACATATACATACACACATATATGTACATATACATATATACACACATGCATTTGTCCCTTTTACTCTGACAGGGTGAAATAGCTGATAGAGAAACTAGTGTGCAATTAAGCACTTAATCACTGAAGGTGATTAAGGTGCTTTTACAAGCTCAGGTTATATAGTTACATCACATACATACATTGTATAATTGATACATTAAATGGTCAGCCTTGGGTACAAGTCCAATATATCATCAAGTGTTCCAGTACTCATATAGTAATTACACAGTTCAGCATACCTCAGCCCAGGAGGGCAAAAGTCAGTCAATATGGGACATTCTACAATATAATGTTCAAGAGAGTGCATGTTTTCTCTTTCATAAAGTTGACACATTGTGTACTCGACATTTGGGTTTTGAGAAAGCTGCCAGATACGTCTGTATCCCAGGCGTATTCTGGCCACTATAACATCACATTGCCGGGTTCTTGTTCTATTAGTCCCATATGTGAATGTCTCCTCACGATATCTATCATAATATTTAATGCTACAACTTTCAGGTCTTTGTGAATTTGTTAGGTCAGTGAGATCTTCATTAGATATTTGTTTAAGTATTCTCTTTGTCACTGCTAATGAAACACCCATATCAATTTCTACCACTGGTTTTCTACAGGCTCTCTTTGCAAGCATATCAACAGTGTCATGCCTTGAGATGCCAACATGTGATGGTATCCGTAGGAATTTAATTTCAAATCTGTTTTCTTTAGCAGCTAAAACATTCATTCGAATATCACTGACTATTTTCTGGGTGTCACTACTATGTGCATTCAGTGCCATGAGTGCACTCTGAGAGTCACAGTATATAAGTCCACTGCCTTTGTCTTTTAAAAATTCAGTGGCAAGGTATATGCCCGCAAGTTCGGTTTGAGTTGTACTTGCCCAGTCATTGACGCACTTCACTGCTGTATGTACGAGAGAAGATTGTTCAAATATATTACATGCACATCTGGTACATCGTCCACCTTCTCCTACAGAGCCGTCGGTATAACACTGATACACATCGTTACCCATACTCTGAGTACTTTCAGTGATGCTTTTCAGTGTTAATTGTTTTAATAATGTAGAGTGCACACTTTCTTTCTTGGACGCATTTACAAAATCAACTGATAGATCCCAGTTATCCCTTGGAGTAATTGGTTGATTAATCATTAATTGAGTTGGGTACATATTTAATATTTTGATGGAGTTGGCTACCGTGTAGAACCAAAATACATAATCA